GAGTATCGACTTATGCATTCATTCGCGATAAAAACAATTTCCATCCCGAGAATAAATAAAAAGTAGCTCTAACGTATTGTGACAGGTACCATATACATCGCATAGATTTTAAAGGTTAAACGTGCTTATGGCAATTTTATATCATTGGCTATGACAAAATCATTTATTCCTGCCTTGATACTAAGTCCGATTGGTCTCATAAGATTAAACTGGTGGCAAACGATGGCCTGTGAATTTTAACGCTCCAAACTTAAACTGCTTTCTATTAATCATCTATGAGACTCCTTTTTGCCTTCCATCAATATGGCTGATACGAGCCTCCAGGAAAGTGACTGGTTTCGCCTTCGTGGGATAACGTTCTCGGCTTCCATGAAGTTGAACGGCTATATTGAATCCGGGTCTTATTATTTCACTGCGTCTTGGTAGACAATTTTTCTCTCCTGAATCTATCTTGCATATCAATAAATCTACAGTTCGTCCATACTCATAATATTTCTGCCACATATGATCTGTTTTTTTCCTCCATATATCCAGAAATCCTTGATGAAATCCAAAGAAGAATCAGCAATATTACTGTCCCTGCTCTGGATATCAGTCACTTTCCCACCGCCGTAGAGTTGCCTCCCTTTATATATACTTCCATGGCAACTGTTCCGATGAACCTTTCCACATGGTACCTAGAATTTATCAACTTAAGCACAATAATAAACTCTCGACGAGGTTTCACCAATATATAGTTTACATTTGGCATAATGTAACCGTAAGTTCTATGCTAACAATTTCTTTTCTCGCACTTCTCGTTTGTGGAAATCTCTTCTAGCTCCATGTTTTCCAACCAACTTTAATGTTCATAAATTTAAAAACAATATCAATCTCTTTCTATTGTACCCCTGATTACTCTTCTATTGTTCTTGCTCGTTAATAAAGTTTCTGTTTTCTAATTCTTCCACACCCTGTAATCACTTGTGTCTTAGTGGCTTTACTGCCTTGATTGGGCTGGAATCGATTAAAAAAGTAATAAACCAAAAATACATAGAAAACTAAATAAAATAATACAGCATATATGTCGCTATAAAAGGTCAATCAGTTGATAGGACTAACCATAAAATTTTATTTTAAAACAGATCTTAACTGTTTATTTTAGATCGAGCAAGCTGGGATATTTATAGGGTTGTCGCTAAACATCACGGTCCTGCGTCAAGGTCGTTAGCGTGGCATTGTTTTGTCATAACATAGCTCGGAGTTGGAGCTGATTGCCAGGCAGCTAGCCTGTCTTGCGACATGGCTAAGTGTCCATGACAGTAGATTAATCGCGACTTCTTGTTTTTGCTCTTCAGTTGCAGTTGTCTTGCATAGCGCATTCAACATTTACGTAAGAGTGTAGAACGATCAAGGATGGATTCATAGATCTGTGATTTGATTGGATCTTGTCTCCAAGAGATGTTATGTACAGCTCTCAGCATCCGATTATAGGTTAAAGCTTAGACTCTCACAGTTTAACGTTAAGTTATCGGTGTGTGCTCACAATAGACCGTATAACATTAATTCCACTGAACCGTGTACTGTCACCACGATGCTCTGAAGCAATACGGTATTGGTTTAATAGAATTCTGTCAATTCATTTAAAAATATAACAAAATAATCTCAATTTCTAACTACAATATACATAATATAGGCATCGGTTACTTTTCATTAATTAACACTGATGTCAAACTTTCGTAGTCTTGCGGCGAAAAACTAATCAGATATGCATTGGGAGTAAACATTTAAGAATGATCTGGAGCCGGAGTCCCAATGCCGTCTGACTAATAAACTGACAACATTTATGACAATGCCGACGCCAAGCAGAATAGATCATCTGCTTCCCTTGGAATGCAAATTAAAAAATGCGCTGCATGATTAACTCTCATATCCCATGAAATCATGTCTTGACCTCCGCCTTGAAGAGGACACTCCAGTGGTGTTTCAATGCGACAGGAAAACTTAAACTAGATCAAAACTGCCGATATATATATATATATATATATATATATATATATATATATATATATGGTCAAAAAAGATTAATGGATAACACATACTCAATATGGTGTCAGACATAACATTTTCTTGCAGCAGAGACAAGGTCTGACCAAAATCCATGCTAAAAATAGAAAAATAAAAAAACAAATGAAAACTACAGACAAAACTTCATTTTTTCCATCAAGCCATTCATTTATGTAGTTCACTGCTACTAAAAAGCAGAATTTTTTCTCTTGATGATGGCATTGTTGACCGAAAGTAGTCGAGGAATCTAAATGAAATAATAAAAACGAAAGAATATTAATATACAACCCAGTGTATCTGAACATTTTAATTTTCAATATTTTTTTATTGTTCAAAACACTATATATATATATATACATACATACATGCATGTATGTATGTATGTATGTATGTATGTATCTGTGTGTGTGCGATGAAATGTGATAAAAGTATATAATTTTAAAGTACTCTGTATTTATGTATTTCAGTGTTCAGTATCAGAGATAGACCGTATGTAAATATACAATATAAAAATGGAGATTAACACCAACACCCAGCGGTGACAGTCTGTTTCATCTTCTGTCCAATCTTTTATATATATATATATATATATATATATATATATATATATATATATATATATATGTTGGGTGTAACAGAAAAATTGTTCAAATCGTTTTACACCATAACTATCCATCCCACAATAGGTTTAATATCTAAACAAACACAAAATTAATTGTGTTTCTTGTTTCCAGGTTTTCAGATAAGACTTTTAGCCAACTTGATACCACTTGAAAAACCTTTTGAATTATTCAACTGGAACAGGTTAAAATCGTTTTGTGTCCGCACCACTATTTTCTCAACTGAGCAATGGTGAGAGGAAAAATCATTCAGGCCTTCAGTGTTTGTTTGTTTTTTGTTTTTTGTTTTTCTTTTCACCCTTTTTCCTATTGCAAGCTTTTATCGCCTTGCTTGAGGCAAAAATATTTTAAAAACCTGAAAAATAAAAATCCACAATATTTATCTAATTCGCTTAAAAGTCACGCGTTGTTAAGTCTTCTCAGGTTAATAACTTCTATTATTCTTATCTATGAAGAGCATTGCCATCGCGAAACTTTTAGTTGGCCACTGAAAAGCATCGTGAAATATTATATATTCTTATTAGCTATCCCTCTAGACATCTACTGAGTAATCTTGTTGACAAAACTGTAGACATCTTGTCATAATTTTACAGTAAGGTTCACAAGGCCCGAAGGCCACTCGAGGTAGTGGGTTACGTTAAGAGGCCGTTTATATCGATAGGTGGAGAAGATAATGGTTAACTCTAGACTTGAACTGGTTAAGATTATAGTGATCGGGGGAACACTCTGTTGGAATTCTGTTCCACAGGGCAGTGGTTCGAGGAAAGAATCTGCCTGAGTGGGATTTATTTCCCGCCGATGGAATGTAGGGGGAATGTGGCGGATTTGCTACTATGTAAATGACATGGCTGACCCCTTAGACCTGGTGAAACCAAAGAATGTAGTTTGCTCGAGCACTATCCATGATAGTAACGATAGAGGAGTGAGAGATTCGGCCGTTAAATTTTATAATTTTTGCATATCAATAGATATTATTATTATTATTATTATTATTATTATTATTATTATTATATAGGTACACCCCCTATTTTCCGGCATTATTGTCTCTCGAACTATGCTGGATTATCCGTTTCATATAGCAATTCAATAATACACATCGTACAATAATTATGCTTCTCGCGTTTCTCTACAGTATCATAGATTGCTAGAAACTTTTATTAAACTATTATTAAAGGTAACTGCCCAGTGAATTAATCCTTGCCATCGAGTCAAATTCAAATCTTTCCTCGTAATTTGTATGGATGAAAAGAGGTGATATGCACTAGTCGCCGAAAAATAGGTAGTATGCCTGCATTATAATATAAAGTATTAGTTATGTTCCGATAACTTACAGATCGTGTACTTTCATTAAAACCATACGACAGGACCGTGTTCATATATTTTACACCAGCCTTTTAGTTTCATCTATAAGATTCCATCAATACGTGTATTTTATTAATATATGGGCATTTCTATCAATTATATTCATTCGAATGAATTAAACTGATTGATACAATAAAATATATATTTATTTATCTTACATATTGTCAGGAGACCTTACGAGCAAAAGAACTGAATCGAAATTTTTTGTCCTTGTAAAATGTTTTGAATTATCAAATCGATGAGAATAATACGCGTATAAAAGCAGACAACACGAATTTACATCAGAAACTACTCACGTACATAAGTTCACACAAACCTATTCATACAGCTGTTCACACATGCGCATTGAAGTACACCTGCATCCAGACAAAATGTTACGCATTATAAAAACTAAACAACACAAGGACAATCGTAGACAACACATGTACTTTTCTACTTAGTGGCATATCATGATAAACACACATTGAGAACAAAAATAAAACGTCGACTACAAGCATTTTAGACAAACATTTCTGAATATATAAAGATAAAAATAAATACGAAGACAATTAGAGACAAGAAAAACATTAAATTAGAATTACTCGAAAAATTAAACAATGATGTCATTCCTGTATTTACCAAATGACAAATCAATTGATTAGACTATCTGCGACATATTATGAATAATGTGAATTATGAGGAAAAGGGGTTGAAAAACAAAAAAAAAAAGAAATGAAAGGAAATAATATAGATTTCAATGTAGGGAATTAAAACGCGATGTGTTTCCATGAGTTGAATTGATCAATGAAAGAATCAAAACAAAGAATATAACAAAACTATGGCAAAGAAGAAGTATAAAGATAAAGGAACCAAAGAGAAAGCAAAAGAAGAACTGAATAAAAAGGTGGAGGAAGAAGAAAGAATTCAAAGAAAGAAAGAATATTCAGGATATTCTCACCATGATTGCGGGCGGCCATATCTAAAATACAAAACATGGCTTCCTGCGACAAAATCCTTGACGCATTTGCATTATGTATGACTCGGTCACATCGAGCCAAAACAGATTCCATTTTATTTGCCAAAGCAGAACCTCTCTCTCTCTCTCTCTCTCTCTCTCTCTCTCTCTCTCTCTCTGGCACACTATCTCCCACTCCCTGTCTATCTCTTCGTCTCTATATTTATCTCTGTATTCTCTTTTTCCCTTGCCCTCTTTCTCTTTCGTCTATACTTCATCCTTTTGTCTTTACTACTACTACTACTACTTTCTATTTCCCTTTCTATTCTCTTTCCCATTTACGTTTTTTTTTATTCTCTCACTCTCCTTCTTGTCCGAATTTTGACTTCTCTATATAGCCAACCACCCCCACCCCACCCCAACGCTGCATACAATTAAAGATAAAATTAAAGAAAGAAGTAAGAAAAATACTAGGAGTTGACATTTGGTAAAATTTTGTGAAGTGAATTGAGTCGTTAATCAGATATACCTTTTTCTCTCTTTATATCCTCTACTACTTTCACCCCTTCTCTTTCTCTTTCTCTATCTCTCTCTCTCTCTCTCTCTCTCTCTCTCACTTCTCACATTTCTCACCTTTCTATTTTCTTAGCCTTTCATTTTTGATTCGATATCTCTCTCTCTCTGAATTATCTTTCCATTTCCGTCTACATATTTCATATCCCTCCATCTACACTTTTTCTTCTTCTAGCTCCATATTTCTCACATACCTCTCTCTAGCTTTCATTCATTCCTACCTTTCTTTCTGTCTTTCTTTTTTCTTTCTTTCTTTCTTTTCTGCTCTTCATCTGTCATTCTCCCTTCTTCTTTCACTTCTACTACTACTACTACTACTGCTACTACTAATAATAATAATACTTCTTCTTCTTCTTCTTCTTCTTCTTCTTCTTCTTCTTCTTCTTCTTCTTTCTGTCTCTCTGACTTTCTCCCCCTTTCTCTCTGTGTATTAGAGCGGTGAAATCAACGGCTGAATAAGCGCCATGTTTGTATGTTAGAACGATCGAGACCCGAGTCGCTCGGTCCTTGAGTCCCGGCCTTCTCGGCCCGATGGCATTAAACTTTCATGCCATGTTTTGTGTCAGGACAATAGATTCAAATAGATTCACATTATAAGCAATGAATCTTCAGCGATTTATTAAATAATACACAAGCGGCCGCCAATGTCACTTAGCTTCTATTCCGTTAGACTCCTTAGCTTTCGTATAATTTCGTCTTTTTTCCTCTTGTATTTGCTTCTTTCTTTCAACTTCATTTTGTATCAATCTGAGATTTTTCTTTCAACTCTTCTCATCTTTACTTTTCATTTCATTTGCTCTTTTTATTGTTTGTCATTTTTAAAAATAATTTAGCAATTATCGATTCTTGCTTCCACTTTCCTTTTTAACATCACTATCCTTATTTTTTTTTTACTTTTGTTCCTTTTACTTTTATTTCTCGTACATTTTCAATCATTCTCTTTTCTTTCTATTCTTTCTTTTTTAATCCATTTTTCTTTTTTCTTTTCTTTTAGTTTTGTTTTCCTTTTTTCCGTTTAATTTTTTCATTATTTTCTTTCCTTTTATTTTTATTATTTCTCTTCCTTTTCGATCTTTCTCATTTCCTTTTATTTTTCTTTCTTTCTTTTTGATTTTCATTGTTTTTTTTTCATTTCCTTCCTTTTAATTGTCTTTCGTTTTCGCTGTCATTACTTCTCTTTCATCTTTATTTGCTTTTCCTTCACTTTATGTCCTCTTTTCCTTTTTGTGTTTTTTCTTCCATTTTTCTAACTTTTCTTTTTCTGTCTTTCCTTCTCATTTTTTCTTTTCTTTATCTTTTCCGTTTCAATTGTTTTCTTTTCCTTTTATTTATTTGTTGTTTTTTTATGATAACGATTCTTTGATATCCTGCTAAAACAAATGACTGGAAAAATGACTAAAAAGATTTCTATTTTGTTATTCTTAGAAATGCGAAGCTCCTGATTAGTTAATTTCGAAATAATCTTTTCGAAACCTTGTCTTCGCCTCTACTCAAACATCGACTGCTTTGGCTACTGACCAATACGCAAATACGACAGCCAACAAACAGGCAATATTTTCAACCAAAATTAAGAATTTTGTCTTAACGCCATGTAATGACCAAGTACGCAGGTGTAGGCTATAAGAAAGCTTTATTCAACTGAGAATACAAGGTTCGCGTATAGTGTTCTTTTATAGTCCCAGTAAATAGAAATAGCTTTCTCGAAGAGGTTAGTAACAAAACAAGTGGATACTACTCTTGATTATTCATAACACACTACTCTATTTGAAAAAATAATCATCTAAAATACTGGCACTTACCCGAGATCGGACACTTCGCAAAGGAACAATTATCAGAGCAAGAAGTTTTTATGTTGTCTTTTATGCCTCTTTCACCTTTGACTGTTTGTTGTCTCCAATGTGTCTTTTTCTTTTCTTCATTCTCTTGTATCAATTCCATTATTTTATTCTGTTTGGATATGGGTATCACAAAATAACCTCTTTAACCTGAGAGATGCCAATAAGAGGAATTCTTCACAACGCTACCCCAAATTGTAAACTAAACGTTATTTTCTTTCTTCTTTTCTTTCTTCCTTTTCCTTTTTGTTTCATTATCACGCATTTTTTTTCTAAGAAATCTGAAAACAGGAGAGCCTGAATCGAAGCTAGAAATTTTAGACGACGGAAGAAAACTGAAAGAAACCAAAAGAAAAATACACAAAAACAAATACAAATATTTTTTTTAAATTTACTTTCGTTTGTACAAGGCTAGATGTTTAGGGTTCTCTCTGAAGATCAAAGCTTAGAGTAACACAATCCCTTTAAACTTATTCTGGACAAGGCTATGCTTAATGTACCTTATGACTTGAGATTTTCCATCGGTAGCGGCATTCGATGTTCAAGTCTGATTAAGAGCTAGAATTCTTAATGCTGCTCTTCAAGGAAATCAAGCAAGCCTTCCCTTACTTATAGTAATACAGCTTGTAAGCAAAATTTATTGCTAGTATAGGGAGTTCAATCATTCCTTGATGTTTCAATATTCTCTCCTCACACCAAACTAAAATTGTGCTATCGCATTAATTTTGATATTTTATGGCATATCAACATCTCAATGGCTTATGTAATGCCGACAACATTTTTTTTTTTTTCTGGTAATATTTACAAAAAATATTTTCCAAAAATATGTTACTGGTAATTTTTTTTTAAATGTATTGCTGGCAATATTTATTTTAATCAAAAATTTATTTCTGGTAATAATTTATTGCTGGTAATAATTTTTCCTCAAAAGATTCATTGCTGGTATTAAAACCCATTTTCCCACTTTCATAGTGTTTTGATCCCAGTTTGGGGGTTAACCATTTACCCATAGCCGAAACACTAAGAGGTGCTCCCTGGGATGTCAGGTAGTACCTTGGAACACCAGCAATTAATAGGTGGTTCCCCGCTCCTCAAAAACTCCTTACTGTTGGATGTAGTTTATCGTCTTACCCAGGACACCCATGTAGGTTATCGTCATACCCAGAAGGGTCTGATTTGGGGCGAATGGGCGTGGTCCTTAACTTTTCAGCTCCCTTCTTGCAATTCATTTTTGTTGTCTTCGATCGAACATATTGTTCATTCTTTCTATTGCGTTTTTGTTTTTTGTCGAAATTATTATAGCAATGATATATAACTCTGGTTATTATTGTCGTTGTTACTTTTCCGTTGTCTTTGTTATTGTTGTCAATGATTGTTCTGCATTTCCGCTGATTTTATCCTCATAATAACTCTACGTCGCAATGTTACTGAGATGCAAGCGCCGCAAGCAAGTATATGGACACGAGCCCATCCAGAAAATCGACTAACTATTCAGGGTTCGGACGTTTACACATAGAGATGTTGCCATTTCATTATTGTCACTGTTATTATTATTATTATTATTATTATTATTATTATTATTATTATGAAGAAAATGATGATGTTGAAGAAGAAGATGATGATGAATAAGAAGATGATGATAATGATGATGATGATGAAGAAGAAGAAGAAGAAGAAGATGAGGATAATGATGATGATAATAATAATAATAATAATGATAGTAGTAGTAGTAGTCTGTATGCGGTTTAACTCATTACAGACTTCTGCATGAAACTGAAAATTAAGCTCGATGACGAAAAATTCATGATTTTATTTTTATTCAGGTAACCAATAGATTCCCCAATTCCCTCAATCCTTGATACTTATGTCTGCACACATACGAAAATATAGCCTTGCTTTCTCCGTGGTCGATTGGTGAAGCATGCTGTGAAATGATCCAACGTGTTCAATGAAAATATTTAGTTGAATATTGGACTTTAAATTCATTTTTAAAGAATATTTATTTTTTTATTTACTTCAAATCTCGTCTTCCGGTATCAGTCGAAATAAAATGTGTTGTTCGTGGCTTTTATAATTAAATTCCTTAGTTATTCAAAGAAAGCCACTTTCTCATCTGAAAGCGGTAAACAGTTTAACATTTACATCTGACATTAGAACTAAAAGGAAGGAAGCAATACTCAAAAATGTTAATGCAATATTTATAAAACCTTATAACGATTAAAAAATGGCATATTATATTATTACATGCCATATATTAAATAAACGAATATATTTAAACCTACCGTAACGGCTTAAAGAAAATTTGCTTATATCGTTTCTGGCTGATGTAAATTTCTTAAAAAAACAAAGAGCCATAAAAGAAAATAAAAAAACTTGACATGATCAACACGCTAGGTATTACTGCTAATAAATAAATAAATATATATATATATATATATGTATGTGTGTGTGTGATATATTAAGTAACAAATAGGACAACTTTATAAATTTATTTATCTATTTGTTTCTTATTCAATCATTCTGTTGATTTTAATCTATTTTTTCATCTCACCCATATATATATATATATATATATATATATATATATATATATATATATATTTATATATATATATATATATATATATATATATATATATATATATATATATATATATATATATATATTCCTTTACATATATATATATTCCTATATATATATATACTTTTAACTGGAGAAGATTTTATAGATTTATGCAAAGTAGGCAATATCTGTCTTAGCTGATTTACTATCTAACTATCTATCTATCATGTCTAAATACTGGTTTATCTACGAACACGGGAGGTGAAGCAATGTCGAGTTTTGTCAATACCTAAATGGGTAACCGCCTAGAAATACCAGGTGCTATAAGCTTGGGTGTGCCCGTGGTGTAATGATAATGGATTGCACCTGTTAATCGAATAGCCGAGTTCTAATACAAGTTAAGTACATCACCCCTTGGGAAAATTAAGAATCCGCTTTTTCTCCTCCTAGCTATGGATTAATTTATAAGTGTTGTATCAATAAATAATAATTATTATCTCAAAACAGAGGTAAATCTGTTTTCTGCCTTTAAAATAAGGGTTGATAACACGTAGAAATCTAATCAATCAATATTTTTTTTCATTTTATTTTAAAGAATTTACCATCAACTCACCTTAAGTGGGGATGTAAATCTGCGGGAGTAGTGATATTTTTTCTCGTTATATATATATACAGATACGAGTGTGCGTGTATGTGTGTGTGTGTGGCTATAGAGCATAATCAACATTGCATGTTGACTGTTAGTTCCACGCTACTGTCAATATTCAGGCCATGTGTCCCTACTTCTTAAGCTGGTTCTATATATTGAATGGATGACAGATGCCTTTCCCAGAATCTTTGTTTATCGCTAATGCTTTAAATTATTTAAGTTAATTATAATCATGTCCTTTATTTTAGCTTATGAGCCAAAGTAATACACCAAGCTTTTCTAATTAGAGAAACAACAATAAATCTTTGGATCCTATGAAACTAACCATACAAGATATCATTTAGCAAAATGTACACAAATATCACAATCCTATCAAAACATATATGGAAAGTTAAAAAAAAACCTAAACACCAAAAATGACTTGAAAAATGAAAAACAAAGCATCAGCTTACAACAAAAAGTAAGCTTTTATTCGAGAAGAAAATAGCAATAATTACCTTAAAAGAACACAAATATCAATATTTCCAATTGCACACACGAAAACAAATTCCTACTGGGCTATCTACAAGAAACCATGATCATTGCTCACTGCATTATCTCTATTTATATGTAATGCCAGGCTAAATTCCCTAATTCCGCCAGTTTAGAACTTCACAGCTAAGGCCTTATATGCCACGTACATTAAATCTGTATTCCATTAGTAAGGAGGATACATCATTGAACACTACGATCTTAATTTCTATATGTCTTCATAATATGCACTTTTTACTTTCTCCTCTTAGGCACTTACAACAACTTCAGTCCTTAACCGTCTACATTGAGTGGCTCTTGGGCCTAATATTGGTTGAACTATAATATAAAAAAGAATAGCAGTTTTGAAACTCAGGCGGCATCCTTTCTCGTCAAGTGATATTTTTCATTTCAATTGCACCACAATAAATAAAGTTTCAATACCAATTATATTTCATTTCTGGAATATGTTCCTTAATTTATCATCCAAAATAAGACCCCAAATCGAATGAAGACAACACATAGGAAACGAATCCAATTTATTTATGCGACAT